CTTCTTCGGCGGCGAGGGCAAGTCATGCGAGGACGCGGTGTGGCTGCAGGCCTTCGACGCGGACTTGGCGACAGCGATGAAGCAGCACTCGATGACGTCTATGCTGGACTTGTCCAAGGCCTACGAACGAGTCAGCCATGCAGGGCTGGTGGCAGCAGCCCGAAGACACGGCTTCAGGTTGAGGCGCTTGAAGCTCATCCTCCGATCGTATGGGGGACGGCGCAGACTCTGTCTGAGCAAGTGGGTCTCGGAGGCCTTCTCGCTGGGGACGTCGATCGTGGCGGGGTGCACCTTCGCTACGACGCTGCTGAAGGTGATGCTCCTCACGGCCATGGACCTCCTCATGCAGTCCTGGCAGAACGTGCGCGCCTACCTGGTCGTGGACGACGTCACGCTGGCGGTGTACGGGCGGCTGCGCGACGTGGAGTTCGGGGTCTTCGGCGCGACCAGATGGCTTTGCCAGAGGTTGGAGGAGGACGGCTTCACGATCTCGGTCACCAAGGGGGTGATAGTCTCCAGTGACATTGACGCTGGCAAGAGGACGGCCCACCGCCTCAGGAAGTGGGACTTCAGGCTGCGGCGTGAGGCCAAGAACCTGGGGATTGACTTCAGGCTGGATGGTAAAGCCTCGTGGGGCGTGCTGCGTGGGCGCCTGGGGCGCCTGGCTGTGAAGGCGTCGCGCTACATGCAGCTCCGACGTGCTGGCGCCAAGCTGGGCTCGGTCTTCAGGTGCAGCGGCCTGGCGACCATCCTCTACGGAGCCCGCGTCAGGGGCGTGCCGACCAAGGTCCTTGACAGGGCCAGGACCATCAACGGCCAGGCCATTTCGGGAGCGTGTGGCAAGCGGTGCAGGACACTGCAGTTCGCGGTCCAGCCTGGGGTGGGATGGCGCCGCGACCCCGCCTACGCGGCCAATGGCTTGCCGCTGCTGGGTTGGGCCAAGGCGGTGTTCCAACGGGCCAGGCCTGCGAGCAGCATGGGCACCGTGTTCAGCGCTGCTCAGCCTACCCATTGGGGCCAGGTCTCTGGACCTGCTGGGGCTGTGCGCCTCAGCCTTGCTCGCATTGGCTGGCGAGCGGAGAGCTGGCACGTCTGGATCACCGACAGGGGCGAGCGCCTCGACCTGACGGTGCACAGCCCGAAGCTGGTCGGGGTGTGGGTCGAGCGGGGCGTACACAGGGCGCTGATGCGGACGGTGCCTGCCCACTTCCACGACCAGCTGGAGGGGCCGCCCACCATGTACCCCGTCCGCGCGGCGCTGGACCTGATCAGGGGGCTGGGCGACGCGGAGCAGACGGCGCTGGTGGAGAGCCTCGTGTGCGGGGGCCTCATCTCGCAGTGCAACCTCTACGGCGAGCGGGCGGCCGTCTCCCCCGACTGCCAGTGGTGCGGCTACGGCATGGGCACGCACCACCACAGGCTGTTCTGCTGCGAGGGGACGGCGACGGTGGCGCGCGACATGGGCCTGGCGGCAGTGCGCGCCGCAGGCGCAGCGGCGGAGGTCACGGACATGGGCTTCGTGCGATGCCTCGTCCCGCTCGGGCTGGAGCTGGCGCCGCAGCCGGCGGCAGCTGAGCGGAGCCTGCGCGCGGGGGCCCTTCGGCGAGCGGGGTTCTCGGGCACAGTGTGCGTCGATGGCTCAGCCTTTTTCCCGCAGCTGGTGGAGATCACTCGCACTGGCTGGGCTGGTATCATGGTCACCACCGACGGACGCGTGGCAGGCGGCGTGCTGGGGACGGTGCCAGGCCTGGTGCAGGAGATCGGGTTTGCCGAGCTGTACGCGCTGCTGATGGTCTTGCGTGAGGCCGAAGGCGACCTGGAGATCATCACGGACTGCAGGAACGTGGTGGATTGCTACGAGAAGGGCGAGCTGTGGTGCACCTGCCCAGAGTCCAGGTACGCGGAGCTCTGGAGCGAGGTGTGGACGCGAGCCCGCGACATGCCTGGATCGCTGGTCATCCGCTGGACCCGTGCCCACACCAGCTGGGCTGCGGCGGAGGCGGCTGGCGTGCCAGCCCACTGGCACATCGGCAACCAGGAGGCCGACGCGCGCGCCAAAGAGGGCGCCAGGCTGCACCTGGACTTCGAGGAGGTGGAGGAGCTCGCCACACGTGTGAGCTCGGCGGTGGAGGCGAGCAAGCAGCTCCTCCGCCATCATGGCGCAGTGCTGAAAAGTGTCGCTGGCGCGGGCTGGCCCGATCGGAGTCCTCTTCCCCGTCCCTGCCCCCAGCAGGTCCTCTCCCTCGTGGCGAACCCTAATGGGCACGTCTTGGGCTGTCTTGGGAGGACCTGGGGATGTTGCATCTGTGGGGTAAGGAATGGGCTCCGATCTCGTATAGTCAGCCACCCGTGCCCTGGAGTGCCTAGGCCTGCGGCGATCGCCCATCCCTCCCATAGGCTGTGGGTGGTTCGGCGTGGGCGTGGGACCGGTGGGCGGGACGGTCGGAGCCTGGGGGGGGACGAGGCGATCGTCTTCTGCAAGCTCTGCGGGGCATACGCCCGTCGGCAGACCCATCTGCTGGCCGTGCCCTGTCGTCCCTGGTCCTGTCGCCCCAGGGACTCGGTCCGTCTGGGGAAGATCGCCCTGGACCGTCTCCGTGCTGGTCGGGAACCCCAGGGCAACGTCTTCTGGGGGCTCCCGTTTCCGCTCGCCCGTGGTTCGGCCCCTGGTCCGAAAGCGGTCGAGGGAGGCGAGTCTAATGTTTCGAGGGCACCGCCAGCCCTCGGTGGCGGTGCCGCGCCCTGTTCCCTGGTGCCCCGAGGTTCTGAGGTGTCTTGGCCTTGACCTCGGAGGCGGGTCCTGCCACTGAGCAGGTGAGCGAGTCATGGCAGAGCTGGACTCGCTTGGTAGGATACCTGAGGATACCTGAGGAGGAGGGGGAGGAGGAGGAGGAGGTGGAGGAGGAGGAGGAGGAGGAGGAGGAGCAGGCAGGAGCAGGAGCAGGGAGCAAGGAGCAGGCATGGCAGGAGCAGGGGCAGGAGCAGCAGCAGGAGCAGGGGCAGAGCAGAAGCAGGCAGGAGAGGAGGAGGAGGAGGAGGAGGAGGAGGCGCAGGAGGAGGAGGAGGAGGAGGAGGAGGAGGAGGAGGGGAGGAGGAGGAGGAGGAGAGAGGAGGAGGAGGAGGAGGCGGAGGCGGAGGCGGAGGGGAGGAGGGGGAGGGAGTGAGGAGGTGGACGAGGAGGGGTGGAGGAGTCGGGGGAGGAGGAGGAGGAGGAGAGGAGGAGGAGGAGGAGAGGAGGGAGGAGAGGAGGGAGGGATGAGGAGGAGGAGCAGGAGGAGGAGCAGGAGGAGGAGGCAGGAGGAGCAGAGGAGCAGGAGCAGGAGCAGCAGCAGGAGCAGGAGCAGGAGCAGGAGCAGGAGCAGGAGCAGGAGGAGGAGGAGGAGGAGCAGGAGCAGGAGCAGGAGGAGGAGGAGGAGCAGGAGGAGGGAGGAGGGAGGAGGGAGGAGGGAGGAGGAGGAGGAGTGCGAAGTCCTTGCGGCCGGTTCCGCCGACCATGGAAGACGTCACCCAGCACGGGCGAAGGGGGGGCGAAGGCGCGAGCCTTGGGGCCTCTTCTCGGGGCCGCCTTGAGACCGCCTTGGACGTTTTCACGCCCTCTTTGGCAGCGGGGAGGCAGAGCGGGGAGGAATCTGCTCCTCTTCCTCCTCCTTCTCTTCTTCCTCCTCCTTCTCTTCTTCCTCCTCCTCCTCCTCCTCTTTCTCCTCCTCTTTGTCTTCCTCCTCCGCCTCCCTCTCCTCCCTCCTCTCTCTCCCTCCTCCTCCTTCTCCTCCTCCTCTTCGTCTTCCTCCTCCTCCTCCTCCATCTTTGAGGCTTCGTGGGCTGGCCTGGACCTCAAAGGTAAAAGTACCCCTGCCGCTACCCTTCGCCCGTTTCCCCCTTGTTGGGCCTCCTGCAGAGGCCCTCGTCGCCACCGCTGGATTCGCGTAGAAATCCTTGTCGGAATGCACCCCGCGGGAGAGGTCCAGGGAGTAGAGGTATTGATACCGTATGGTTTGTCCAGGTCAATTTTGGGTCTCTCTTGAGCCGTTCTCTTGGGGATTCCGAGGTCGCAGGTTCCGTTTTTTGGGTTTTCGTGGTCCCGCCGTGGTTGGTCGGGGCTCCGTGCAGCAGCCGGAGGTCTCGACGAGAGCCGCAGAATGGTGGTGATGATTGCCCGATCGGCCTCCTGTGGGCATGCGCTTTCCCAGATCTCCAGCCATGTGATGTCTTCATGCTCGGTGTTCGTTCTCGATGTCGGCGGGGCCCGTGATTTGGGCCCCGGGACTGCGAGGAACAGGTCCGGGGCGAAGCACGGGCCCCGGGGAAGGGGTCGGGACCTCGGGGGCCGCGGAGGGACTGCATCAGAGCAGCGGGCTTCGGACTCTCGGGCCAGGCGAGACCCGGGGAGGGGAGAGGCGCCAGCGAGCTGCGCCGAAGTTGGGCCTGGCGGCCCCCAGCCGAGCACCACCCCCGAGCTTGCCCTGCTTCTCGCCACTTGGCATCGCTCGGACGTGTGCACGTTTCCCTCGGCGAGGACCATCGCGGAGCATCCTGGATCATTTCGCGAAAAAACCACGCACGAAACCGAAAACAACACAGGCAATGGACGTCCGAGCGATGGCCAGGCCAAGCCAGGGCCGCGGGCGCAGCACGCCTCTCCGTGCCCGCGGTCCCGAGGGCGGCGCACCTGGGCCGCGGCTCCGCGCGGATGCCTCGAGGGCGTCTTGTTCGCGGGTGCCCCGCGCAGAGCGTGTCCGCGCGGCCGCGCAGCCGCAGGATCGCGCCCCGGAGTCCAGACCGCGGGGTCGCGTCGGCTGCACGGAAGTCAGAGAAGGAGAAGGCACCCCTGCCGGGAGGGGGGAGGAAGAAGGACGAGGAGGACAGAATACAATTGCTGCTCGCCTCCTTGGCCCTCGTCATCGTTGTCGTCATCGTCGTCGTCGTTCTCGTCCCGAAAACCTCGAACCTCGAACCGACGAAATCAACCGACGAAAGCAAGCGGCGAGCAAGCGCCTCCTGAGGCCCGCGTAGTCGACAGCGTCGGCGCGGGCGACACCTTCAATGCGGCCACGATCCTAGGGGAACGAACAGTGACATAAAAAACAACTCGGAGGTCCGCGCGGATTTCTCTGGTCGGCGTTGGGGTCCCTGGCGGCGCCTCCGTCGCCGCGCCTGGCGCAATCCGCGCGCCATGGAGGGGGGTCCGAGTCATGCGCTGGCTCCCATGCGACTGCAGACGCAAGAGGCGACGAGAAGGGGGACCGACAAACGGCCCGCAGGACGGGGCGAAGGCCAGGGGTCCAGCGCTGTTCCGAGGAATCCGCGCGGACCTGCGAGTTTGCACGTTTACAGTCAGCGCGGATAGTCAGGACGAGCGTCAGGAGGGGAAAACACACACACAGACATAATTAATCGTCGATTCCCCGGGAAATATGGGAAAATATGGGAAGTGGGGGGGAAAACGAAAACTAAGAAAATATAGGAAGCTATGGGGAATCCTGGGATTTGTGTGTATTTTTTGTGTGTCCTGGGGCCCCTTCAGAGCGACTCTCCAAGGCTACCCTTGCAGCCTTACGCCGTCGGCCATCCTTGGGCCATTTTTGTCGTCGGCCGCGCCCCGCGTGTAGAGTGTCGATATGGCCTTCAGGGCCCCTGCGTCCTCCTCGTGCGTCCTGATTGTGCGCGTTGACTGTGTGTCAGGGCTGGACCTAAACAGTGTTTTCGGTGATTTCGTGGGCCGTTTTCGTTTCGACTTCGTTTTGCGGTAAAGGCGGATTGCAGACAAAAGCGAGTGAAAACGAAAACAAAACGAACACGAAAAGCACCGTTTAGGTTCAGCCCTGCTGTGTGTCACTTTTCGTTCCCCTAGATCCACGCCCTCGCGTCGGGGGCTGGGCCCCAGCTGGCGCTGGAGTGCGGCTGCGCCGTCGCGGGCCGCAAGGTGGCCCAGGTCGGCCTCGGCTCGCTGCGGGACGCGGTGCCGGCAGGCCTTCCACGGGGGAAGCCTACCCTCGTAGGCGACGCAGACATCGAATGACAAGGCAGATGTCCAGCATGTTGGAACCATCTGGACGGAGGTCTTCCGCCGTTTTATGGCCTCGGGAGATCCTCGGCTGGCCCCCGGGGCCAGTCAAGAAGGGACTCAGTTTGCAAAGCCGGTCCCCAGGAGTGGGTCGAGGCTTCGGGGACCTCGTTTTATGGTATTCGAACCTGCTTATGAAGCCTTGATCACCAGAAATATTTCCGAGCGCCAGGAGAGCACCGAAACTGGAGGGTCTTCGCGTGTCGGGCCCTGGGAGGCGATATACTCGTTCTACACTTTGCCAGCGTGTCGGGTAGACACGGTTTCGATATATTTTCCTGGGTGCTCGGACCTATTCCTGGCATGTGGCACGTGGTTCTTCAGCACGATGGGAGATGCATACACATCGTATTGCAAAAATCAAGACTCAGGAGGGAAACCAAACACAGACACAATTAATCGACGAGTCCCCAGAAACTATGGGAAAATATGGGAAGTGGGGGGGAAGACAACAACCCAGAACATATAGGAAAATATGGGGAATCTGGTTATTTGTGTGTATTTACTTGTGTGTCCCAGGGCCCCTTCAAAGACATCGGATCATGTTTCGAGCACGTGTCCGTCTCCGCGGCCTCCCGGGGCGGGCCTCTGCTGGGGCCGCGAGCAGCGCATCCCGGGAGTTTCTTCGCGGCTGCCCCGCGCCGAGCGCCTCCGTGCGGGAGGGAGACTCTGATAGAGAGGGAGAGAGAGAGAGAGAGAGAGAGAGAGGGAGAGAGAGAGAGAGAGAGAGAGGGCGAGAGAGAGAGAGAGAGAGGGCGAGAGAGAGAGAGAGAGACACAGAAAGAGAGAGAGAGAGAGAGGGACAGAGAGAGAGAGAGAGAGATGAGATCAAGGTGACAGGCTGGAGGTCAGTCAGGGTGGGCATTTGATCCCCCCCGCCCCCCTCAACCTCCTGATCGCCCGCAGGGCGGTGTTCGGAGGTTGGGGGCCGAGATCGCAGTGACACGGAGACCCCCCGCCGGGAAGTCGGTTTCGGTTTCGTGTTGGTGTCGTGCGTGCGGGCGAGGCGAAGCTGCGCGTTATATCCTCCTGTAGCTCGGCCGAAGTAGGAGCGAAAGTCCGTTTCCCGTCCGCCGGTGGCCGGGAGGTGTCCCAGTTTGGCCGGGCGGTGTTCCGGGTGTCCCGGGTGTCAGCAGGAGCGAATGTCCATTTCCCGTCCGCCGGTGGCCAGGAGGTGTCCCGTGCAGTTGGGCTGGGCGGTGTCCCTGGTGTCCCGGGTGTCCCGGGCGTCCCAGCGCTAACGCATGTCGCTAATTTCTGGATTCATTTGTTTCGGCGCCTGCGGTGGGCTTTCTTATCCAATCCAGCTTATCTTATCCAATCATTCTCGTCCAATCCAATACATCTTATCTTATCCAACCCATCTTGTTCCATCTTATCTTATCCCACCAAGTCCAATCCACCCAACCCAATCCATCAATTCATTTGTTTCTGCGCCTGCGGCGGGCCAATCCAATCCATCTTATCTTCGTCCGCCGGTTGCCAGGCGGTGTCCCAGTTGGTCCTGGCGGTGTCCCGGGTGTCCCGGGTGTCCCGGGTGTCCCGGGCGTCGAGGCGCTAACGCTCGTCGCAAATTTCGTAATTTCTTTTTTTGGGCGCCTGCGGTGGGCTGTCTTATCCAATCCAGCTTATCTTATCCATTCATTCTCGTCCAATCCAATACATCTTATCTTATCCATACCATCTTGTTCCATCTTATCTTATCCCTCCCAATCCAATCCACCCAACCCAATCCATCAATTCATGAGTTTCTGCGCGTGCAGCGGGCCAATGCATCTTATCTTATCCAATTCATTTCTTCGAGTCCAATACATCTTGTCTAATCCAATCCATCTTATCCCATCCAATCCAATCCACCCAATCTAATCCATCAATTCATTTTCCGGCGGGCTTTCTTATCCAATGTCATCGCCATCGCGATCATCATCGTGGTGGAGGGAGATTCTGATAGAGAGGGAGAGAGAGGGCGAGAGAGAGAGAGAGAGAGACAGAGAGAGAGAGAGACAGAGAGAGAGAGAGAGAGAGAGATGAGATCAAGGTGACAGGCTGGAGGTCAGTCAGGGTGGGCATTTGATCCCAGACCCCCCCAACCTCCTGATCGCCCGCAGGGCGGTGGTCGGAGGTTGGGGGCCGAGATCGCAGTGACACGGAGACCCCCCGCCGGGAAGTCGGTTTCGGTTTCGTGTTCGTGTCGTGCGTGCGGGCGAGGCGAAGCTGCGCGTTATATCCTCCTGTAGCTCGGCCGAGGTAGGAGCGAAAGTCCGTTTCCCGTCCGCCGGTGGTTGGGAGGTGTCCCAGTTTGGCCGGGCGGTGTCCCGGGTGTCCCGGGTGTCAGCAGGAGCGAATGTCCATTTCCCGTCCGCCGGTGGCCAGGAGGTGTCCCGTGCAGTTGGGCTGGGCGGGTTGTGTCCTGGTGTCCCGGGTGTTCCGGCGTCCCAGCGTAAGCATGTTTCGCTAATTTCTGGATTCATTTGTTTCGGCGCCTGCGGTGGGCTTTCTTATCCAATCCAGCTTATCTTATCCAATCATTCTCGTCCAATCCAGTACATCTTATCTTATCCAACCCATTATGTTCCATCTTATCTTATCCCACCAAGTCCAATCCACCCAACCCAATCCATCAATTCATTTGTTTCTGCGCCTGCGGCGGGCCAATCCAATCCACCTTATCTTCGTCCGCCGGTGGCCAGGCGGTGTCCCAGTTGGTCCTGGCGGTATCCCGGGTGTCCCGGGTGTCCCAGTTGTCCCGGGCGTCGAGGCGCTAACGCTCGTCGCAAATTTCGTAATTTCTTTTTTGGGGCGCCTGCGGTGGGCTTTCTTATCCAATCCAGATTATCTTATCCACTCATTCTCGTCCAATCCAATACATCTTATCTTATCCACCCATCTTGTTCCATCTTATCTTATCCCACCCAATCCAATCCACCCAACCCAATCCATCAATTCATGAGTTTCTGCGCGTGCAGCGGGCCAATCCAATGCATCTTATCTTCTCCAATTCATTTCTTCGAGTCCAATACATCTTGTCTTATCCAAGCCATCTTATCCCATCCAATCCAATCCACCCAATCTAATCCATCAATTCATTTTCCGGCGGGCTTTTTTATCCAATGTCATCGTCATCGCGATCATCATCGTGGTGGAGGGAGACTCTGATAGAGAGGGAGAGAGAGAGGGCGAGAGAGAGAGAGAGATTAAGTGGGGACGGAACAGAGAGAGATGGGAAGGAGGCAGAGAGAGGGGGGGGGGAAGAGAGACAGACTTTTCGGCGAGTCTGTAGATGGGAGAGGGGATCTGCGGGACTGGAGTGCTGAGAGAGAGATGAGATCCAGGTTTTTGACTGGCTTGGGAGGTCAGCCCAAAACGGCAATTTGATCCTCCCCCCCCAACCTCCTGATCGCCCGCAGGGCGGTGTTCGGAGGTTGGGGGCCGAGATCGCAGTGACACGGAGACCCCCCGCCGGGAAGTCGGTTTCGGTTTCGTGTTCGTGTCGTGCGTGCGGGCGAGGCGAAGCTGCGCGTTATATCCTCCTGTAGCTCGGCCGAAGTAGGAGCGAAAGTCCGTTTCCCGTCCGCCGGTGGCCGGGAGGTGTCCCAGTTTGGCCGGGCGGTGTCCCGGGTGTCCCGGGTGTCAGCAGGAGCGAATGTCCATTTCCCGTCCGCCGGTGGCCAGGAGGTGTCCCGTGCAGTTTGGGTGGGCGGTGTCCCTGGTATCCCGGGTGTCCCGGGCGTCCCAGCGCTAACGCATGTCGCTATTTTCTGAATTCATTTTTTTCGGCGCCTGCGGTGGGCTGTCTTATCCAATCCAGCTTATATCTTATCCAATCATTCTCGTCCAATCCAGTACATCTTATCTTATCCAACCCATATTGTTCCATCTTATCTTATCCCACCAAATCCAATCCACCCAATCCAATCCATCAATTCATTTGTTTCTGCGCCTGCGGCGGGCCAATCTAATCCATCTTATCTTCGTCCGCCGGTGGCCACGCGGTGTCCCAGTTGGTCCTGGCGGTATCCCGGGTGTCCCGGGTGTCCCGGGTGTCCCGGGCGTCGAGGCGCTAACGCTCGTCGCAAATTTCGTATTTTTTTTTGGGGGGCGCCTGCGGTGGGCTTTCTTATCCAATCCAGATTATCTTATCCAATCATTCTTGTCCAATCCAATACATCTTATCTTATCCAACCCATCTTGTTCCATCTTATCTTATCCCACCCAATCCAATCCACCCAACCCAATCCATCAATTCATGAGTTTCTGCGCGTGCAGCGGGCCAATCCAATGCATCTTATCTTATCCAATTCATTTCTTCCGGTCCAATCCATCTTGTCTTATCCAATCCATCTTATCCCATCCAATCCAATCCACCCAATCTAATCCATCAATTCATTTCCCGGCGGGCTTTCTTATCCAATGTCATCGTCATCGCGATCATCATCGTGGTGGAGGGAGACTCTGATAGAGAGGGAGAGAGAGAGGGCGAGAGAGAGAGAGAGAGAGACACAGAGAGAGAGAGAGAGAGAGACAGAGAGAGAGAGAGAGATGAGATCAAGGTGACTGGCTGGAGGTCAGTCAGGGTGGGCATTTGATCCCAGTCCCCCCCCAAGCCTCCTGATCGCCCGCAGGGCGGTGTTCGGAGGTTGGGGGCCGAGATCGCAGTGACACGGAGACCCCCCACTGGGAGCGAAAGTCCATTTCCCGCCCGCTGGTGGCCGGGAGGTGTCCCAGTTGGGCCAGGCGGTGTCCCGGGTGTCCCGGGTGTCCGTAGGAGCGAGAGTCCGTTTCCAGTCTGCCGGTGGCCGGGAGGTGTCCCAGTTGGGCTGCTGTGGTGAACTTGGGTGGTTGTAAGATTTAGCAGACTTAGCAAGTTGGTTTCGGAACTTACAAGTTGCGCTAACTGAGCGCAACTAGTTGCAAGTACTTGCATGTTGACGTGCA